TACTACCCTGTTAGTACAAAGAGATTTGTGTTATCTATATAAACTGGATGCTTTACTACCCTGTTAGTACAAAGAGATTTGTGTTATCTATATAAACTGGATGCTTTACTACCCTGTTAGTACAAAGAGATTTTCTAAATCATTTCTGTGTGATATTGTGCGAGGTTATCTATTTCGAACAACTCTAAAGGCAGGACTTGGTGTTGGAGAGTGCCTTTTGCACCATCCAATATTTACACCAAATATGAAAATTTCTATTCTTTATCTCGGTAAGAATCATGTGCAGTAAAAAGAAAACAAGTAAACTACCTTGCACCTTATAATGGTGAAGGATAAACACGGTAACATTTGTGATATGCTTACGAAATAGTCTCAGGAAAGTGAAAAACTCACCAGTTACAATCACATCGGTCTGAGTCTCAACCTCTCCAGCACTGTTGTTTGCTACACAAATGTAAGTACCGTTATCTTCCAAAGAGATGAACTCCAGGGTGAGTAGCTCTGAGTAGTGATAAACTCTGTGTCCAAGAAACAGGGGGATTCTCTCTCTTTCGTGTAGCCTGTACCACACGTAGTGGGGAACGGGATTTCCTTGTGCCACGCAGGGGAGAGACAAAGTATCGCCTTGTTGTCCCCTGATTACAGGTACAGAATATATCAGTCTTGGAGAAATGACACTGTGGACATCTGACAGGGAAGATACGGAATAGTTTGAAACCACTCTTTGTGGTAAAAATGTCTAGTTTTACTAACAATATAAACAAATGATGCTTTCACCCGCTTTATACAGGTTTTACTGTACAGAGAGACCTGAAAATATTTTGTTTAAAAAACCAGATAATTCACGAAGCTTCTTACAGGGGACTTCGTATCAAATATATATATTTTTGTTTGGTGGAATGATCAGTTAACTCCACAATTACACCCAGCAGCTAATATTGAAAATGAAAAGAGGGAAAAAAATGCCAGGTGAGGGTAGAATACTCGGACACTAAATGTCTTAACTACATTGACATATAAGAAATAAAATAAAAACAAGAAATGAAGAATATATATATATATATAAATACATTTTCATTGCCATAAAACTAAGTACCTTATTACGTCGAAATCAATATGGGATTTATTTGATCAAACTGGATGTTTTTTTTATAAATAGATGTTTGATACATACCTCAGAACAAAACTTATCATTTTTATGAAACGCACATTAGAGGAATCTGATTCTGTATCAATGAAATATTTGATGGAACTTTTCCAACGATTAGTAAAACTGTTTTAAACATCCAGATTTTAATGCTCAATGATTCTTCTTACTTTGACGTCTTTATATCGTAGTTGAAAAGGAAAAATGTATATATATATTAGTAGGATATAAAGGATTTAGAGAAAGAAATCTGTCATTTGAAATGAAAGCAGGCAAACTATAAATCAATTTAAAAGCTCTACATGCACTTGAAATGTTTTACTTATTTTCCTTTTAATGTTTAGTCCACCGGTTTTCAAGGATAGGCTCTCAGTCTGATGTCTATTGTGTGAGCTACGTATGTTGTATGTATATGTACATACACAGAGGACTTCATTTTTTGTGTTTAAGTGCAAAGCTACACAATGACCTATCTGCTCTGTTTTTACCGCAAATATCTTACTTCGATATTTAATGTGGTTAGTCCTCAAGTTTAATATTGAGCCACCAGTGAGAAAGAGGGGGGTGGGGGCTCATACAGAGAAAGAAAAAATATTCAGTTGAAAACTTGTTTTATTACAAAGTTGTACAGTGAAGTATCAGCAATATGTACACCGTGAGGATCGAACCTTGAATTCTGGTGTTATAAGCCTTTAAGTTTAGGGACGAGTTGAAATTAAACCAGTAACATGTTAAAAAATGCTTTTTCACAACCAATCACAAAAATAATAACGTGCGGTATTAAATATTTCCTTATTGTTGTCGAGAAATGTCAGGATACACAGATTTGATTCGTTATTCCTGTTGTTACATTCACTTAGCAACTAATACCTTTTTGACCACTAGCTACGTATTGTCTAGGATGTGGCACGATTACCGGGATTGAGTGCGCTATATTAAAACGAGTTTGGAGTCTTAATACGTCGTTAAAGTACATGTCAGCACGTCCGATATGCTCTATAAGGCAAGGTGGTTGTAATGAACTGGCAAGCGGTGTTTAAGGAATACTGCTCTATCTGACGACAGTGTTTTTGACAATAGTCCTGCAACACAGTTTCCATCGCCAAAGGTTCCGGCATAAGGTTATGCCAAAAGCACATTTCTTCTCTATGAAGCTTTCCATAATCTATCTAGTGTACGAGGACGACGGTTTCCCAACGCCTGTTTCAACATTCTGATTGCCCAGAAATTAATAGGCACTATGTTCAGTTACTTGACGTGTATGTCTTCATTTGAGAAAAAAAAGACGAAGATCCATTTCATTCCCCATCTGCTTAAGGTATGTGAAGTTGAATGGGTTTGTCGTGGAAGCAGTTTGTGTATACGTGATTTATGTCACTTTTCCAGACGGAGATCATCTTTAATTATGTTACATACTGTCGTCTGTGGCACGTGAACGACTTTTGCCACTGACCTTTAGTTTATGGATTCTTTCCTGTCAAGGATGTCGCACTTTACTTAACACAACTGGGGTATGACTTACTGCAGGTCTGTTTCTGGAAGGATGCTGAATCCCCAAGTTGATCCACATTCCTTTGTTTTCCAATGCCATTAAGCATAAGGTTTCGCTCAGATATTGCTAGGTGTGTGAATCAAGCTTGGAATTTCTAAATCCCCGATCTGAACACATCCTTATGATCTGAATATATGAATATTTTGAGTCAATAAAGACTGTTACATACATTTCCGAAAAAACAGTCCGTTTTCTGTGGCATCATATTGTTTACAAAACACTAAACAATGTTAAAATGTAGTCAAAATACGTTGCCACAGCGACTTTATATCAGCCGAGGTTGTCACGTGACTTGCTTATTTGCATAGAAAGATCGTCTTACAATAACGGCTAATTGAAAATATATGTAGGAATACACCCAAGTAAAGTGCGCGATTGTTCCAGAAAAAACAGTTTCATAAAAATCACATTCTGTTGCTTTTTAGTATAAAGCGACATCGTCTTTGTTTCGTTTGTTTGAAGTTAAGCACAAATCTACACAATGGGTTATCAGTTCTCTGCCCACCACGGGTATCGAAACCTGGATTCTAGTATTGTAAGCCCGCAGACTGGGGTGCAACATAGTCTTAGATAAAACACGAAATTGAATATATATATATATATATATATTTATTCACCATGCTGATTAAAATATTTTCATTACAATCATCCCTTCTTTAATTAGTAACAATTATTAACCCCCCTGAAGGAGAAAAGTGAAACTTCCTAACTTACAGCGTTCGGATTATCGAGTTACTAAAGTTGTGGAGACAACAGGCAAAATGTATCCGGTATAAATTTCTATCTTGTATTGTGAACATATCTTTAGATGCTTAGGTTCTGAGGTTATGAGAAGGTAAACACGAGAAATACTATGCCTAAGGTAATAGTGGATAATTAATGGTGTAACAAAATACAGCAACAAAGACTTAGCTCAGTTGTAACAAGTCTTGAGTTAGAGAAAAAGGGGGTGGACACATTGCCTTAGTATTTAAGCTACAATCGATATTTGAAAATTTAACCTGTTATAATTATTCTCCCGTTTTTGTTACTTATTTTAGATTCTGACGTTAGACGATTGAAAACTTGGCAACGAAAAGTTTTCCTTTCGTCTTCGTCTGTGACGTCACGCACCAACAAGCGTCCAGCTGCTAGAACGGTGTATTTTCCACCTTGAAATAGAAGAAAAAGTTTTTTAAAAACAAAGTGAAAATATTAAAAATACTAACTGTCAGCGCATACAGATTTAATATAGTGAATACCTTGTGTACCTTTATGAAAACTTAGAATAGTTTATTTAAGTTTTGAAACACTTTTATATGATTTTCAAGGGTTCATCAGAGGACCCTTGAGATACTTTCGTCATGTGATAGTATCATCATACTTCAAACGTGATCATATTTCAGCTGAAGTATCAAAATAACCGCCCTGGTTTTACATTAAGTAATATTCCTGCTAAATTCCAGATCTACCAAATAACATACAAATCCTTAATGAAATTCGGAAATAGAACATTTAATACCAAATTTAGAACACCAAAGTTTCCAAAATATCCTGAAAAAAAGCACGCGGTTTTTTATAGATAACCCAGATTTCTATATACTAACAGGGAAGTAAAGCATCCAGTTTATATAGATAACACAAATTATAGTAAGGGTGGACATTAGGAACATCATGATGATGTTAAGTATCATCTTCTACATTACTTCGCAGAGTATGCTATCTGAAGCTTGTTTCTTTGTAAGTTATAGTAAAGGTGGACATTAGGAACATCATGATGATGTTAAGTATCATCTTCTACATAACTTCGCAGAGTATGCTACCTGAAGCTTGTTTCTTTGTAAGTTATAGTAAGGGTGGACATTAGGAACATCATGATGATGTTAAGTATCATCTTCTACATAACTTCGCAGAGTATGCTACCTGAAGCTTGTTTCTTTGTAAGTTATAGTAAGGGTGGACATTAGGAACATCATGATGATGTTAAGTATCATCTTCTACATTACTTCGCAGAGTATGCTATCTGAAGCTTGTTTCTTTGTAAGTTATAGTAAGGGTGGACATTAGGAACATCATGATGATGTTAAGTATCATCTTCTCCATTACTTCACAGCGTATGCTATCTGAAGCTTGTTTCTTTGTAAGTTATAGTAAGGGTGGACATTAGGAACATCATGATGATGTTAAGTATCATCTTCTCCATTACTTCACAGCGTATGCTATCTGAA